ATTTAAGGGATTCCCTGCGCAAAAGTGGTACTGCACAATTACTCCTTGTACAAAAACTGCCCCCCCTCCACCACCACCCGGAAGATCGCTGGATTAATAGGCGAAAATCTTCATCTCTATCATGGTAATCCCAGATTTGCACAAGCAGTCTCTTGATTGACTTCTTCTAAAAGCGATTTCTCTGTATTCTTGCGCGGTGCCTCACTACACTGTTCCCTGCACAGTGTCGACCTCACTGGAAGCCCGCCCGGGTTGCCACGCCCCTTTTGTGCTAGAGACATGCCGTAATTCTCCTAAGCCTGATCTGAGCCGAAATTCCTTATTTACCCTGTGTAGAGTGTCCTCCACTGGATGGGGGGTATATTCCTTTGCAGTGGGGAATTCGGTGCTAAAGGACGCGGTTGCGCAAACAAATACGATGTCTCTTGGGGCGGCTATGGGTGATCGCGCCTCGAGCAATCCCACCTTCTGCCGCCTTGTTGCTGGAGGACTGCGAGCTGAAGGCGAAATTTTGAGCAGTAACGAAAGCGCAAACTCCATAGAACTTGTAGAACGGAGGGAAGACAACCCACCTCCAATTGATGATCTTTTCAGTTTGGCCGACACCTTGCGAAACATCTCAGCCGAAATCTCGTGATTCAGATGTTCATCGTGGAGAGTGGTGATTTTAAGTAACTGGAAATGAGAAACTAGAAAGTTTTTGCAAACAACTTTGACAGAAAAACAAGTATTCCAGTCAACCAAAACTGGTAACAGCGATCAATAGCCTACTATGAGTAGTTCCAAGAAAAGCTCAGTGCTACTGTTATGAATCGAGGCCAATTTTTGATAGACTCTGGTCTGTCTGCGTAATCCTAAGGCTGCGTTCCGGCAGCGTACGCCCAGCTGACGAACAGCGCTTCGAGCGTAAGCCAGCGACCAGGAAAGTGTGGGTAGCGATCTAGCGAACGAAGTGTATGCCAGTGCACGCCATCGTCGAGCAGCGAATTCGCGTGCAGTTCGGCTCAAGCTTGAATTTCCCGTGAAAACGCCAGCATTCTGGCATACGCCGACGTTTACTAGATCGATACTCATACTTTCCTAGTCGGTGGCGCTGGTGTACGCTCGAAACGTACGCTGACCGAAATGATCGCAGCCTAAGGCTGTACCTTGAGAAGGGAAAGAGATCATTTCTTCGTGCTACCACCCCGCCCAATCAACTACAGAAACGCCAACGACTCCTAACAGAATACCAAGATGTTTCTAAGAAACACCGGAATCTTGATTAAGTCGGTACCTATCTGATCAGTTGATTTCTACCCGAAAAGTGGACTTAGCCCCACAATAAGGAGAAGAATTGGCGGAGACGTTCGGCTCAGGAGGGGATTTGGGCAGTTTCGCTAGTTACTTTTGCTAGTTCCGTTTAATCACATGTTATACCTTGATGGGACCTAAAGGCTCTTGAGAAGTCTAAGCGATAGTGTCAGTGTAAGCTGCTATTGCGTAGCTTCATAGGAGTAACAGTTCTCTCCAGGAGGCATTGGGAGTAGTCGATAGGAACCAGGAAAATGTCCCCACCAAGCCCTACTGCGCCACGTTGGCCTTCCAATACAGCCTAATCCAGAATGATCCTCACCTGTTCACTGAAGCTATAGTTCAGACGCAGCATAGCACGACATCCTGACGGCAGGTAATGCTGATTGGGACGTTTGCCGATTCCTAAAACGAAGAGGCATCAGTAAAGCTGACTTTTGTCAATTCCAAGCTTCACTTTCTCTTTTCAAAAGTACCTTGTGCGTGTGCTCGAGAGGAAACCAAGAGAGGTATAGATCTAGGGTCCCCAGGCACTTTTCCCCCTAGAACAGTCAATTCACAACGGGGACAATTCGGCGCGCATATAGTGCACACAGCTGTGTCGCGCATTATGGTTTACACAGTCGGATCGGAGGCTTCGCCGGCCGATCCTCCTTCCGCGTGTGAAGTGGGTCCCTGTGAGAAGTTTCCATGTGAGGGAGGGCCAGTCGGATCGGCCGGCTTCGCCGGCCGATCCTCCTTCCGCGTGTGAAGTGGGTCCCTGTGAGAAGTTTTCCATGTGAGGGAGGGCCAGTCGGATCGGCCGGCTTCGCCGGCCGATCCTCCTTCCGCGTGTGAAGTGGGTCCCTGTGAGAAGTTTTCCATGTGAGGGAGGGCCAGTCGGATCGGCCGGCTTCGCCGGCCGATCCTCCTTCCGCGTGTGAAGTGGGTCCCTGTGAGAAGTTTTCCATGTGAGGGAGGGCCAGTCGGATCGGCCGGCTTCGCCGGCCGATCCTCCTTCCGCGTGTGAAGTGGGTCCCTGTGAGAAGTTTTCCATGTGAGGGAGGGCCAGTCGGACGAATGGTCGAAAGAAATATTATTTTGAGAATTACCGCACTTTACCGTTTCACTTCTAGTATATACCCCCCCTAGTAGACAGCCATCAAAATTTTCTATGCGGCACTGCAAACTATTGCCGACGGTACCAACCATTTGGATACTCCCTACGATTATCCCCTCACTATGTTCATCTGCCATACCACTGTTTAGTTTCAGCTCACTCCCCATTTCGTGGGGTTTTTTCGGATGCGTTTCGAGGGTTTTCGTCCTCGGCATCGTCCACTTCGGCGAACGCTCCGCCCATCACGGGTGTGCTTCATTAATTCCGTCCGCCAACTGATTGCCTATCGTTTGCCACTTCTCCCACTCTCCGAGCTTTTTTGGAACCCAACTACGAATTTTTGAAAGTTTCGTAGCAGGCACCGCTTACCTACAGAACGCCCTGCACAGAGTGGGTTTGTTTCAGTCATTTCGTCCACGAACTGATTGCCTATCGTTTGCCACTTTTTCCGCTCTCGGGGCTCTTTTGGAACCGAACTGGGAATTTTTGAAAATCTCGAAGCAAGCACCGCCCATCTGTAGAACGCCCCGCCCAAAATGGGTTTGTTTCAGTCATTTCGTCCACGAACTAATTGCCTATCGTTTGCCACTTTTCTCCGCTCTCGGGGCTTTTTTGGAACCGAACTACGAATTTTTGAAATATGAAGCTCACAACTATGCGCACGCGCCGCCCACAGTGGGCGGGGCTTAGCCTAGTTCACGTGTGTTTCGTACATCTTGGCCCATGCCCTACCCATCCCAACCTTGACCCGCCCCCTGAGACTGGCTCTTCAGGTAGTTCCGAATTTCCGGACAGACAGACAGACAGACAGACAGACAGACAGACAGACAGACAGACGTCGAGTTATATATAGTAAGCCGATGCTCTCTTCGAAGACCCATGGTTTAGCGATTTTTTCTTTCAGAAAAACGCTTGCCACACAAAATCGAACAAACGCGCGAACAGCACCACTAAATCGCTGGGTACGCTGAAAGGATTGGTGATGGGCCGGGGACAACGGAGAGGGCGCTAGAAGGCGCCCGTGGACGAGTCTGTCAGCTGGTAATAGCATCTGTCTATGCTAATTGTGGCCCACCGTGCAACGAACAACGCACGGATTATAGAGAGTACGATGAAAATGACAATCGACCAACAGCTGCTCAATAGAATATTACAATCCCCTCGAAGCCCTCAAAGTCTTTATTTCGGACCGAGGGTACAAAGGGTAACAATTAAAAGTAGCACCAGCTACAAATAGTACCTCGGCGTGGTCACAACTCTTAAAAACACTTGATAATGCCCATAGAGCCCAGTTTAAGCCACACCTAGAAAGCTCTATAAAAGTCTCCTCTTCGATGGACCTCATTCATGTCCTTGCCCTACGGGCTGCTCTATTCTCCTGGAGATCCTTCGGTTCCTCTGAAACTCAGGGAACCTTCGACTCCCAAAAGGAAATCATTTGAAAAAGGTTTCATATTTACGATTAGCGGTCAAATCGTAATCAGCCACCAGCCACCAAATAATTTATTTAGAGCCACCTCCTTTTATTGCTTGCTCGTGATGCTTGACTTACTGGCCGGACTAGTTTCTTGTCGGTTGTTAAGAAAAATCTTGCGCGAATACGACCCCCCCCTCCGAGTTTCTCCGTTTTGACTTCCCCTTTCCCTTCTATAGACAATCCTTCTGGGTTTTCCAACTTCCTATTCATTGTTCCTGAATTTCCGCCTGCTATGGTAAGTTCGTCGACGACACCAAGTAGGGGGCGCAGGGGAAGAAGGGGGGGGGACAAAGCGACGAGAAAGTACAACCCCTCTGAGAGTATTCATGCTCTGAGAGTATTCATGCTCTGAGAGTATTCATGCTCTGGATAGCGCGCGTAAAACAGGAAAAAATCAGGCTATCCAAAAAATTTCACTGGCCGAAATACGCCGCCTCCTTCCAGCAACCTATATACGATGCCCGCCAATGAGGATTCCCCACGTACAGACGTTCCTGTCCGGCTTATGCGCTAACTAAGCCTCTCGGTCCAGCCCTAGGGAGAATTTTCCATTGTTTGAAGATGGATCTGGTACAACTCTCTAAACGCCGCTTGAACGATGCAGGATGCAGCATTTCACTGTGTAACTAACTCCAGGCTCTTTGTCGAGGCAAATCCATTGGGGGGTGGAAGGGTTCTCAGCAAAGGCTGCATCATGACTCGGGAGGAGAGGGGTCGCACTTGAGCTGGTGAGTTTTTTTATCTTTTCAGTGCTGATTTTTGTCAGGTTCTGGGTGTCGTGGTGAAATTGTTCTCATCAGGGCTACTGACCCTGGTTGCTTTTATGAAGATATCCGCTTCTTGACTCTGTGAATCAACCGCTCGTCCCAGAACCCCCCCCCCCCTTTACCTTCACCAAGACATTCTTTCTCCCCGAAAAGGATGTGACCTTGTGCGGTTAGCGCGAGGCTAGTGGGGCAAATTTGCGGTTACAGGTGGGCGGTTTTTTCTATCGCGCGAAACGTCTACCAGTCGTGCCACATGTTCTCCGGTCCACCTAATTATACATGCGGACATGTCTGTTCAGACGGCCACAACGGCGACGACGTCGATTGGAGGGCGAAGGGCCGAGGCGACAGATGGGTGAATGCGTCAAGTTGAGACAAGCGTCACTGCAACAGGTGCTGAACGTATGGGGTCGAAAATGGTCTCACCTCGCATTCTCGGTTCTCCATAGTGAGCACAGTGGAACACAACATAGCGATACTTGAACCGATGGTTTACTGTACCATCTGGTTCTCGCAAGGTTTCAGATGAAGCAACTCGGAATGGGTGCAAACATTTTTTCTTCCACGCTTCGAAAGCATCCTCGAATTCCGCGTAACTGAAATCTCACGATAAATTTTTATCAACTGACAAGGCAAAATTCCAAAAAGTACCTTGAAAATCGAGCATCATGGGTGATTTGAGGGGGACCGCCTTCTGTCGCCGCTGAAGTGGGCGAAGGGCGAATTGGTATCGGAGCTACCGGAATTACTGTATCCGCCGCTGCAGGCACCGGCTGTATTCCTGTTTGTGTAGAACTGGGAAACGCTGACAGTTGAGGAACTTCAGCGGGCAGTGCAGCTGTCGAGACCATCGTCGAGATGGGTGCTCGTTGGCCCACTGCTAAATCTGCTTTTGGCGCAACTGCAAAAGCTATAATTACTACTTACTTAGAGTGAGTTTTTGAAAATCGGGACCAACCAGGTTTGAGATCGGCAAAGGTCGGCGGCTGGGCTGCTTCAGTCACTATGCTAAGGGTGGTGTCGGCAGATGGATGTGATGTGTTGCTTGTGGAGGCAACAGAAGCTGTCGACGAATGTGGAATGTCCTGGAAATCAAAAGCTACTAACTAGTATTCAAAACATGTTTATTTGCTGAACTGATGGGCTATCCAGTTTGGCACTGTACTCAAACGTAAGTGGCGGGACACATCAAACAACGTATTGGGTAACAACGGGTCAAAGAGTGCTCTCGAATCCGTCACATCTTTATGACAGATCAGATCAGTTTTCAGAAGGCGTTTTAGATCGAAGTCAAGTGGACGGGAGACAGACGAGATAATCGTAACTTGTCGCGTCGTCGCGCGCGGCGCATCATGCGGCGATGCGACAACACGAAATTAGTCTGAATATAAGCGGAAACAAGGACTCCAGGATGAACTGCATCAAATTTTCCCGCTCCATCAACATTCAAATTTAGGCGCCCAGGCAGGACAACTCGCCCGTCTCACGCGACGTCGCTCGCCACGCCCACCAGCGTGGCAATTACGATTGTCTTGTCACATATGTCCAAGTGGAGACTATCGAGAACCAAAAGGCTCACCACATGAAGTTCATCCAAGTGATTTGGGCTGCTACTGCTGCTACATCCACTGCTACTTCTCGTACTCCATGTATCATAATGGGTCTTTTTCGGTGGAACATGCTGAAATCAAAACTCCTCTAGGAACAGAGGTAGAAACAGAACGTTCACAACAGATGCTATTCGGCTTTGGAGGGGCAAAGAGGTGCATATCGCACTTTCGCTAATTTATGACAACTTGCAGGTTCACCCAAGTAAGGCTTATAAGCTCCTCTGGAGCCGCGAAATGGTAAAAGTGAGCCATGTTGGCTAATGGAACTTACAGGCCAGGACAAGTTGGCCTGTAAAGCACCAGCTGAATATCATTTGGTGCTCCACCAAGCCGAACGGCACTAAGAGGGAATCCACGTTCCATAACTCTATAAAAATATGCAAGAAACATCGGGGTCAAGAAAGTCGATCTCACCACGAAATCCGGAAATCCATACATCTCCACACCGTAGTTCTGCTCCGGCTTCCCAGGAGCAGCCATAGTATCAAACTGAAAAGGAAACTCGATAATCACAAATGACAGCTCAATTTCAAACCGCTTTTCGTAACAGCTTGCTCAAATCGACCGTGACAGCAACAGATGGCATGACAACCTCGAAGCTTAACGCGAGCATTTCAAAGCTAGATTTCAGAGAGAATTTTCAAGGAAGATATGGTGGAAAACGTTTAGGAACTGACATATAGCCTTTTTCTGGAAAGACAGAGGACAGAGGTTGGCTAGAAGATTGAGAGTGGTGGGTTACGCAACGCGACCCCGCCACGACCCGGCTGTGCGCAAAACAATTCCCGGAGCCCTCCCCTGTCTTCGACACGCATCACTCCACCGAAGCCAATGGCATAGCCAAAAGGAATCCATGGACAGCCACATCTTAGACAGAGAGAATCCTCTTAAAAATACACAACGTGAATCTTTCAAGAGGATCTCGCATCAGCAAAACAGCAATGTTTAAGCTAGAAATCCAGGTTCTAATAGGCTTAGAGGGACATATAAAGGGCTCCTCATGCGTCAAGAGTATCGCACTAGACGAGGACTTTGGGCTAAGCCCAAAGGATGCATAGCTTCGGAGGTGGATAGACCAGTTCCGAGTATGACATATCTATATGGATGACTCTCACTTTTGCACGAAACCCCTTAAATGCCCCCTCCAGTTGACAACAGAATTCATGTTAATTTAGCAAATCAAATCTTAACAACACAAACATGATTTGTATAAAACCTGAGGAAAAAATTAATAGCAAATAAATTATACGAAAAGACATCAGCTGAAAGCGCACTTCTTCATAGAGATGACAATTAATAAAGGCTCATATGAGAGAGAGAGAGACGTAACGAACCACCTAAGTTTTTTTTAGTGTTACATATTTTCTCCAAGTGTTAGATCCATGAGCTTATAGCTGCTCTAAAGACGACTAGGTGGGACTAAGCTAAAGCCTGGCTAAACCGGCGCCGCTTTACTTGCTGTATTAAAAGAATGCATCTCAGCATAAAAAGCGTTTCACAATTTACCCCTCCCCATCCAGTCAGCCTGAGAGATCAGGAATAGGTTGAAGAACCCAACTAGGAAAGAAACAACTCGATAAAGTTTTACAACATTGAAGGTATCAACTCAGAAAAATGCAGCAAACTGAGGTGTCCACAAGGGGACCTAGCCTATTGAAGTCAAGATCAATGGTGGGTAGCTGGGTGAGCCTGACCACAATTGGCAGTTTTTGGCGACACACAATAGCTATTTAGCCACAGGATCAACCCGCCCACGCCATTGGCATTCGGTGCTAAAAGTACCGACACTGCAGGACGTGATATAGGCCAGGATCTGGCCATAGATACGCCAAGACGGTTGCACAAGGTCATCTGGAGAGGCATCCGAAGTTTGCCATTGGGGAAAACATCACAGTCGACGCGGGAGCTGGGTCAGCATCTAGCACAGAATTGTGAGAGAGCGCGCTACCCAGCGCTGAGCCAGATGCACAACCATGGCCAATGGTTTTGAAATAAAGCGTTTAATAGAGGGTGGACTCTAAGACGGCCATTAATAATTCCCGTTTCTCTCGTTCAAACCACAGCGGGGGCTAAGAGGGCAGCAGTTTCACAAATGTGTTCTTACGACATCCATATGGCGCCCATGCATACCGTAACCACTGCGTGCATGCCAGCACCGTATGCGAAGCTATTGTAGCCACGCATGATTGCACGGCGCGCGTCCATTAACCACTGGAACAAAGCATCGCCATCGAGCCGCAAACTTCTAGACAATCTTCCGTCTAGCTTCATGGAAATCGGCGGAAGGGTTGGGGGAGGGCAGTCCAGCGAAGGAGGAGGGGGCACTTTGGTATAACCTGTAAACTCTCGTAAAGTTGGAGCAAGCTCATCAAACCACCACGGTAAAACTTTGTCTGCTCTTGTGAGTGCATGGAAAAGCTCTCTACATGGCTCGATATGTCAATGGGAAGTAGGAAAAGTGCAAAGTGCCCCCTCTCGTCACCGAACCGCCCATTCGGGGGAAGGGGCGAGGGGACGAAGAATGGGCAGGCGTACCTCTGGTTGTTGTTGTTGGATGGCTCGAAGATCTCTGTTAATTATGCTTATAGTTTTTCCAGTGTTATCTTCTGATGGAACTATGGATATCCCCTAAGCCTTCGAATCAGGATAAACACACTACAAGAAAGCCGCTAGCGACCAGAGAAAGTTGGGCGCAAAAAGAACCTCCATCACTTCTAAAGGCTGCTGATGGCGCCAACAAAAAAAAAGAAGGGAATAGGAAGTTTTCTGCGGAACCAATCAACTCCAATGACGACTGTAAAGCTCCCAAGATCCGAAGGAAGATCCTTAGCTCTCGGTCAGTAACAAAGGAGAAGCCTTCTTCCACAGAACGAACTCGATACTAATAGACTGGAACTCGCTGATAAGGGTCCAGAGATAAAAGGGTAACACCGAAGAACAGCCGAAGATTCGTTGAACAAAGCCTGCACCAACAAGATAAGTGGCTCCAAAAAAGACTCGCCTGAAGAACACGTCTCCGAAACCAGGTTGGGTCCCTGACCAGTGACGTTCACCTCCGCAAGATTACGTCAACAATGCATAAAGAAACGTGTGATATGATTCTTGACTGCTATAGGCCTCGATTCTTTCTATAAAGGGGTGGAGCAGCGGCTGGTCAGAGCCGGCCAGAGAGCATGCCGATGGAGAGGCTATCAACGAAGGCGGTACGCTCTCAGCTAGCCATCACGCAAAGATCATCAGAACACGAGATGGCGCAGAACGTGGGTCAGCCCGAGACCATCTGCCGGGATATGCAAATTGTGGACAGCGGCAGAAGCCGAAAAAATTGCTTACCCAATCTGACTGTCAAGAAACGAATAGCGATAGGAACAACCGGACAGTTTGGGCAATATAGGTTTGGCGGGGGCAACAAATGGTAAGTTTGCTGAAGCTTTACAGTCCACCTGTGAAAACCTTCCTCCCCTGACCAAAGTGGCTCACTCGCACCATTTCTCTTCACAGAGGTTCGCAGGTCTGACCAAACTTAAACCTGTTATTCAACATGACTAACAAAAGAAAGTAGCGGAAACACAAAATGCCCCTCCAAGACGAACAGCGCCGAACCACCTGGCGTCAAAAAGATGAAGAGCTCAAATGAATGAGGAATTGACCTGTGGTTCCTTATGGATCTCCCTTACTCGAATTTAGCTGACTTCTATTCCTCACAACAGAATCGTCCAAAAGCCAGTTTGCGGTCAAACGACTTTCCCATAGTTTCTGGTACTCCTTGTGAAAACTTGCAGCCTACAGACACTGAGAACGAGGGGGAAGGCTCCTGTTGCAAAATAAGGGCGGCATATCAAAGAAATCCAATGTTGGACCATCGGCTCGAAACACGACTGTACATCGTGACAACTGGTACTGCTACCGCAGCAGTCCTCAACTTTTTATCTTGGAATTAGGCTCCTACAGGGACTGAAAACTGGAAAATTCTGAGCCAGTCCCAATTTCTGAGCCACTAGAAAGTATACCTAAGCTGACTCAAAGGCCCGTCGTAGTAACTCATAGTAAAGGTCAGGTGAGGTATAAGTTCGAGTTTCAGCTGGGGCCAAGCGTTAAACCCCTGAGTTAGCCTTCTTGGAACAAACTAAACTGATGTGGCTTACAGGCACGTAAAACCATAGATCGCGCTCTTCCCCAGTCAATCATCCACTGAACAATGAGTCGATTACCCTCCTAGGGCCCACCTTAGCCTAACAGCGACCTCTGTCAGCATCCAGAGGGTCAGCCATATATTATGTAACCACCATCAACTATCGATTGGGTCAGATTGGTGGCACTCCCGGTAAACAATGATCAAAGATTGCGCTGACCGTCACCGACTACCCTGCCCTTACTACAGTGTAAAGGCAGCGGATCTCCGATACAACGACAGTCGAGAAGACCGTAGAAACCACTGGAAACTGGAAGTTTCCCACGCGCAGTTTGGCTTGGGGGGTGGATTTTGCGCTTCCGCTTCTTCCCATTGTCGTGTTTATTACTTTACGGAAGTTGACAGGTATTCTTCGCAAGAGTTGAGAAGTGGTTTTTACAAATTCTGACTGGTATCACTTCATGGCTTCACAAGATTTCACAAATCTCTACTTAGTAGCTCGATACGACAATGGGAAGCAGCAGAAGTGCAAAATGCCCCCCCCCCTCTCGTCGTCGAGCCGGATTCTTTTCTCAGCCAGAAGCCCGAAAGAGCC